AGCGGACAGGGGCCTGTGTCCAGGTTCAGGGAGGCCCGCCCTCTCGTCCACCAGCCCTTTGCTAACCTGAGACTGGTTAGCAGGCTGGTACTATTCAGAGACGGGCACTGACTGGCCACCATAACCCAGCGACACAGGGAGGCCCCCTGGAGGGCACCCCAAGTCCCTGACCCCTCAGACACTGCCTAGCCCCAGAGATGACAGCCAGGGCCCAAATGTCGTGAGAGTACAGTGGGCAAGATGGCAGGAGAACCAGGCCCTCCAGCTGCCTGCCTCCCCATGCTTCCTTGCCGGTGGTTCTCAAGTGTGCTGGGTATGGTACCAGCTCCCTGGCAGTGGGAGGTGTGTGGCCAGGCCTTCCCCTGTGACCACGGCAGGGTCACCCAGCATGTCCCTGGAGTACGCAGCAGAGCTGGCCAAGGCTTCGAATGTACCACAGTGGCAGGAAGCCTTCGTAGGCACCGCCCCCCCCGAGTTGCCCTTGAACCCGAGGTGCCCATGACCACAGCTTGGGGACCATGGAGGGCGGCGAAGGTCACTGCTCTTGCTGCCACACAGGGCCGCTGTCGGCAAAGGTAGCCGCCGAGCCAGGGAGCCAGGCTCGCCGGCTCTGGGCTCCCCCTGTTCATGAAGGACTGTGTGTGTGTCGGGGTGGGGAACATGGGTTAAAACATTCCTGCACCAAAATAAACATCTCTTTTTAAAAAAAACTTTATTAGAACACAAAGGGGAAGGGATACCTCCCACTGCCCGCAGCAGCCAGGGCTGGGCTGAACCGAAGCCAGGAGCCTGGAGCTCCACGCGGGTCTCCCACGTGGGTGCAGGCCCCCAGGGTTATCGCTCCCCCAATCCCCCCAGTACCATCCCCCCAGTACCAGGTGGTTGGACGGGACGTAAGTCCACCTCTCCAGGAACCTTCTGGAGAGCCTCTGTATGCCGGCAGCTTCCCGTGTCCACAGGCTCCCAACCCAGAGCAGGTTGGTTTTTGTTTTTCGTTTTATGAACTCTCTCTGGGGCCTGGCACTGTACACTGGGTTAAGCTGCTGAGTGCCAGTTTGAGTCCCAGCTGCGCCACTTCCGACCCAACTCCCTGCTAACACGCCTGGGAAAGCAGCAGAGAATGGGTCTGCGTGGGTCCCTGCGCCCACAGGGGAGACCTGGATGAACCGGTGAATGGATGGGCTCCCTCTCTGCCTTCCAGATAAATAGTGTATAAAACGTAAATTTAAAATAGGAACAATTGCATCTGTATTGCCCTCCAGGCCTCCTGACCCCGGTCATAGGAGCATCTGCCAGGGCAGGCGGGGACTGATGGCTGAGGTCTGTGGTGCAAGGCGGGCAGGGAGCTGGTGAGCTGAGGCCCCTGAAGCAAGCAAGGGCCACACTCAGCATGGATCCGTACGCAGTGGGCTATCACATGCAAGGCACCCAGCAGACCCCCTCACAAAGCTCCGGATGCCTCTGGACTTTGCAAGAAACGCCCATGAGAGCATCGCTGGGCGCTATGCACCTGCCCCAGAGGGAGAACGCACTGGCCTCGCCCCACCTGATCCTGAATGTGGGCTGGGCTGGTGTGGCACCTGAGGGTTGGCAAGACCAGAGGTGGCCCTTCGGGAGCCTCCTTGAGTCTCTGAGTTGCTTCCTAAGAGGTCCCACCTGGACTAGGAAGGGTCGGCCCTGGCACGCCCCACCCGACTGCGTCTCTGGGGAGCTCAAAGTCCAGGCACTGGATGAGTCCCGGGGGCACCAGCCTGCAGAGCCCACCCACGCAGGGCCCAGAACCAAGCCAGAGGCACCTAGGCCAGACAGCAGGTGGCACCAGGACCAGGACCTCGTGGCCAAGGAGCTCCCAGATTTGCTCCTAAGCTCTCTGCTGCGCTGTGAAGTGGGGTGCGTGGAAGGATGAGGTTGGCCCGCAGTGTACAGCTGCTGCTGGCAGGTGACAGCACCTCCCTCCTTGGGGGGTCCTCACACCCCCAGCTCCAGGAACGGCAGTTAGGAGCCAGCCAGGCTGGCTGCAAGGGAGACAAGGGATGAGCCGGCATCACCTCCTCCAGGAAGCTGCCCTGACTGCAGGGCTGGGGCCAGGGCTCTTCTTTTGCTTTGCAGTGGCGCTGTGTGCCTCTGGCTGCTGTCTCACTAGACCTCGGGCACGGCAGGGCAGAGCCTGGCACCACCCATAGCAGGTTCAGGAGGCACACCTCAGATCCGCCCTGGCCCACAGAAGCAGCAAGGGCTGGCGGGGGTGGGGAAGGGGTGACAGGCAGCGGGGTTCAGGTATGAGACCAGGACAGCATGGCCAAGGGTGGGGGCATCCAGCAGTGGAGGCAGTGAGGGCAGAGCGGCCGCCCTAGGGCCACCCTTGGACTCGGGCTTGGAGATGGGAGCGAAGCAGGTGGGATGTGCCAGGGACAGAAGCAGTGAGACGTGGCCACCCGCTGACCTTGGGGTGCCAGGGGAGCTGGACGGTGCCTGTCTGACATGTTGTGGCGGGGACACTGGGTGGTGCTGCCACAAGGTCCCACCCTCACGTGCCAACTACCTGCTCCTGCCCGTGGAGACAGGCAGGCTGGGGCTGGACAGTGTCGGGGCAGCACAGTGGCCTGCTCCTGCCCGGGACATCAGAGGCTGGAGGCTGTGGCCAAGATGGCAGCCTGGGGTGCCCACTCAAGCCAGACCCTCGGACACCCAGGCTGCACACAGGGGCCAGCCATGCGCAGCTGTTGGCCTGAGGGAGGAGGCTGCTGGAGTGGTGCTGGGCCAGGGGTGCTCAGTGGACACCGGGAACCAGCGGCCTGGGCCACGGGGTGCTGTGCCGTGGCAGCTGTGGTCCCACAGCAGGCGTGGCCGTGCTGGGAGGAGTGGAAGGGGCAGGCAGGACGGGGCCAGCAGCTTCAGCAGGCAAGCCCACCGCCAGGGCCCCGAACTTCCAGAATGAAAAGCGGCTGACCCAGAGTTGAGGGCAGAAGAGCATTTATTGCAGCAGGCGCCCCCAGCTGCCGTGCCCTGGTCCCTGCCCGGGCGGGCGTGCCAGCAGGCCCCTCAGGGAAGGCAGTAGGCTGTATAGTTATCTGCTGAGGGGCGACATCACCGCCCATAAAACCACACAACCTACTACCTCACCCCGCGGCACCCGCCCGCAGGCAGCACGGCCTGCCCCACGCGAGGCTGGGCAGGCGCGGGGCAAGTGGAGCTGCTTCTCCATGGCAAGTAGCACCCCACACACCCCCGCTCCCCAGGGCTGTGCCTGCCGAAGAGTCCCCATGCACCCCCCACCTGGCCCCTGGCACGTACAGGCTGGGCCACTGATGTGCATGGGGCCCAGGTCACCAAAGACCTGGCATTGAGCTGGACAGGACACGGCACAGGCCAGGCACCTGCTGTGAGCAGGGCAGCTGGCGACACCCCTGCAAGCGCCAGCTGCCCAGGACGCATGGGCAGATCCCACCCCCTCGCCCCTGCTCTGCCCCCATCCCGCCCCCCTCGCCTCCCCTCGCCCCTGCCCCGCCTCCCCTCCTAGCCCAGCCCAGGTGGTGGACGCTGTCCAGCGCAGGTATCACGGCCACTTCAGGAAAGACAGTAGATTGTATAGTTATCCCAGAGCAGGGCAGCGCCCCAAACTATACAACCTACTACCTCACCCCAAAGGGCGGTCAGTCTCGCACCGAGATGGCTCCGTGGCTTCTGCAGGGGGTGAGGGGAACTCGAGACCGGGCACTCGGGCAGGGGCCGTGTGGAGCAGCGGGCTCCCAGGGTGGCCTCTCCCGCAGCCACCATCCCTTGGTCAGCAGGGGTTCCAAGCCTGAGCTTGGGGTTCACAGGGCCCTGGCATAGTGAGACGTACTGAGAAGGCCTTGGGAAAGGGGAGTGGGTGGGCTCACTGGGCAGGGGGCAGCACAGTGGACGGGGCAATGCCTACCAAGGAAGCCAGCTTAAAGATGTTCTGGCTGCTGATCCTGGGCAGGACTACAGGCCCAGTGACCGAGACCCTCTGGAGGTCAGAGCTGACAGGTGGCAGGGCAGAGGGCATGGCATCCTGCACTCTGAGGCTCGGGCAGCCCAGCCCTGGTGGCAGAGGCAGGGTGGGGTTGGGGCGGCCTGGCCTGGCACAACACACAGGCAGCTCCTGCTCACTTGAGAGCTCGAGGCCCCAGACCCCTGGGACACAGAGTGAGCGCTGTGGCTTGTGACCCTCCCAGCATGGCCCTGCACTGTGGCCCTGCTCCTCACGGGGGACACTGCCTTCCTGTCCACAGGGCTGGACACACACCGAACTGGATCCAGCCCTGAGTGTGGCGTTAGAGAGAACAGCCAGCAGAGGGCGCTGGCTGTACAGCCAGGTTGGCCTCCACGGGGCACTGATGGCCTGGGCCGCCCCTGTGGGCTGTGGTCTTGTAGCTGAGCTGTGCTGTGCCTTGCGGGATTGAGGCCGGAGCCAGCGCCCCCTGCCCGATTGGTGGTCAGAGCCTGGAGGCAGGTGTGTGCACCTGCCTAGACCTTGCCAGACCCTGTGGCTGCGCCCACCCATTCCCCGTGTCGTGGCATCACCCCAGAGCCCAAGGGGGAGAGAGGAGAGGGCCAGCCAGCCTCCCGGGACCACCCTGAGCCCAGCCCAGCTGCAGCTGTGCCTCGGCGACTCCACACTAGGCCCACTTGTCACCTGTGGGTGGCCTGCATGGATGGGGGGGCACTTGCAGGCTGACAGAGTAAAGCCAAAGGGGGCTCCCCCAGGGACTCCTGTCCCCCAAGAGTGGGCAGACACCCATGACATTCACAGGGTGCAGCAGGCACAGCTGAGCCACTGCCTTAGCCCCATGAGCTTTGCAAGTCTGACGGGGGAGGCCAGGGGAGGGACCTTGGTTCTCATGAGCTGGTGTGGGGGAACCTTCTAGAAGGGAAACAGCAGGGTGAGGGGGAGGTGGCTGCCTTGGAGGGTCCAGGTGGTAAAAAGCTTGGCAGAGGGACCAGGACCCAGGTCCTGCTGTACACATCCCCCCCCACCACAAACCTTCCACAGTTTCTGTTCCCCACAACAAGGCTCTCGGAGCCACGGCGTACCTCCAGGCAGGCTGGTGCGGCCAGACGCCCCTCCTCAGGGCCACTCGCCACCTGCAGGGTTGGAGACAAGCAGCGTCAGTGTCGTCTGACCCTGACAGCCGCCCGGGGCCCACCCTGCCGGTCCACGCACAGCCTGCATCTTGGACCAGCCAGGCTGCACCTGTGAGCCTCTGCAGCCAGCCCCGCACTGGACGACGCCTGGTCGAGACCGGCCTTGCCCTCCAGCGGTCAGGGTGGGAGCACCGAGGCTTGGGGAGGACAGGGATGCCCCGAGAGGCTGTGCCATCAGGGGCTGCCGCTGGGCAGGTCCACGGTAGCCGAGTGCCCTCTGGGGACAGGAAGATGGAAGAGCCAGCAGAACGGGGCTGTGGTCACAGAACACCTGCCCCCAGCTGCCACTTGCTCTAGCTGCGTGGTTAAGCTGGACCCACACGACACCCTCCCACCCTCTGCTCAGCAGCATCCCTGCCCGGGGCCAGGAGGGGCCAGGAAGGGCCAGGAGGGAGCAGCTCAGCTTTCGTCCCTGAGCACTGGGCCGTCCATCATGGGCTGGCACTACCCATGGCCCTCCCACAGCACCCCGAAGTCTCCCCGTCTCCCTCCGCTCCCCATGTCTGCCAGGCCTGTCCCTTCGCCAGAGGCTCTGCCCTATTTCTGCTCCTTCCCGTGAGGGCCCAAGTCCTTGGTCTGGGAACCACCACGGGTCATGGGGGGGTGGGCAGCCCCTCCCGTCCACTGCCACTCAGCCCCACCCGGCTCGGGGTGCCCTCACGGCTGTGCCCCAGCAGGGGGCACACGAGGGTCATAGCCACTTCTGTGTTGGCTTAGAGGACCCAGGCTGGGCCACTGGGACCTCCTCCGGCTGTCCTGGGGACAGACTCTCGGGACCCTGCCCCGCCAGCCTGGACGAGGGCTGGGCACAGCGTGAATGGCACTCCTCAGCGAAGTCGCCCCGCCGTCTGCCATCTGCCACCTCCCAGCCCGACCGAGGCCACCCTGGACAGGGTGCTGGGCAGGCTCGGATGGGGGCAGGGCCGTGCCAGGCCAGGTGTGTGGGAGGCCTCGGTGGGCAGGTGGCTCTTTCAGGGCCAGGCGGATGTCTGGAGCAAGCGAGGCAGACAGACGGTGTCACCCTGAAGTCACCTCGGGCTTGGCTCGGGGCCACCGGGCGCCAGCACCCCCCTGACCGGCCTGATTAGGTTCCCCCCATAAAGCAGGCAGTGTTTGTGCTCAGCAGGCCGTGCCAGCAGAGCCTGGGAGAGCAGCGGGCGGGAGGCGGTGCCCCAGAGAGGGAGGGGGACCACACGCGGAAACTCCGGGTGTCGTCGGGATGCGGCCTTCACACAAGCTCACCGAAAGTGCCACTGCGAAAAGGCCACAGTCTCAGGAGACACGCCAGGGCGACGGGCCGGGCAGCTGTCCACTCACCTGGCTGGGGTCCGGGACCTTGCCAGCCAGAACCAGAGGCTCTTCCTACAACCTGCACCTGTAGGGGAGGGTGGGAGAGTCAGGGGCCAGAGTTGACACCCCAGGGAGTCTGCACCCCACTGGCTCCCAGCTGTCTCACTCCCCCATGGCCCAGAAGCCAGGGTGGGGCCACAGTGCTGACCCTGGGAGGAGGGGGTACCTCTGGCACTCCAGGGATCTACAAAACACAACAGAGACATTCTCAAAGGCAGAACATACCCTCAGCCCAAGCCCAGGTCTGGCCAGGGGGCAGGGCTGGCACTGGCTGGGCAGGAGTTGCCGCCCTGAGGACAGGCTTAGCAAAGGGGATCAGTGCTGTCCCCAGCAGGTGGGCAGGTAGCTGGGGAGGGTAGCAGGGCTGTGCCAACCTTGTGGGGAAGTGGGAAGATGGCAGGCCCTGACGAGGAACCCCAAGGGGAGGGATCTGCTGGGTGCCCATGGGTGCCCAACAGGACCCCTCGTTGTCTGTCCTGGTCTCTGTAGGAACCACCAGCCATCGTGAGGGCGTAGGACAGCCACTCAGCAGCCAGCCTCATGGGCCCGTGGTAGGTGCCCAGGCCCGGCAGCCTGGCTGAGCACACGGTGTCCCTGTGGTCCATGGCCCAGGCTGGCACTGAGGGGGTTGCTGAGACGGGTGCCTGCATGCACAACGGGGCAAGGGGCTCATGGGGAAGGCATGAGGGTGTACCAGCCCCAGAGAGGCCCTGCTGGTCAGCAGCCTTCAACTGAGGGCTGGAGCTACCCAACTGGACACTGTGAAACCCTGTGTCTGAGGCTGAGCCCGGCCAGCCGGCCAGTCGGTCAGCAGGTCGGGGATGCTGCCGCGTCCCACAGCTCCTGCTGAGGGCTGGGCAGAGCCCATATCAGCCTCCACTGCAATCTCACTGTGATGTCTGCTTGGTAGTCCCTGGCCCAGGATGGCCCCGGGACCAGGCAGGGAGAGCAGTGGCCAGGACTCCTGGCTCAGCCTTGCCAAACCGCAGCCTGGCGCCAGCCCCAGTGTAGTTACAGCCAAGGCTGGGTGGGGGCGGGGGCTGCTGTTGGCTCCATCCGGGCCGCTGGGTGGTGGTCTCCTCACTTCCTCCACCCGCCAAGCTACCGCCTCTGCCTGGGTCACAAAATGGCGGATGGTGGGGCAGCCATTTTGTGGAGCCCTGGGAAGACAAAGGCGGCAGAGATGAAGGGCGGGACAGGGAGGGAGAGGCGAGCTCTTTCCACAACCTTCCAGCTGTCCTACTCCCAGCCACTTGGTCACTACCCCTACGGGGCTCTGGACGGCTCTGGCTGCAGCACACGCCAAAGCCCATTTGTCCAGGCTGCTGGGCTGGGATGCCAGGCCGGTGACTGTACCCCCTCCCAGATCCCCGCAGACCACTCCATCCTGGCTGGAGGCCCTGCCCGATGTGAGCTCCTGGGAGACCACCCACCCCAAAGGTCCATTCTCTGGCTGCTTCTAGCCAACAGCCCCAGGCCCTGGCTTGCCCAGCTGAGCTCGGAGTGTCCGCAGGACAGAGCACGGCTGGGAAGGCTGTCGGAGGGACCACTGCTTGTGGCAAGTGCTGGGGCTTGGGGCAGCCAGACCCTCGCAGAGCACCGCTCACAGGGTAGAGGACCTTGACAGGGAACGGCAGTTCAGAGCCGCGGGGCAGGGCCCATGTCAGAACAAGCAAAGCCCATGGGGAGGGAAGGCACACAGCTGCACAGGGCAGGATGCCATGGCAATGGGGCACCCTGACAGCCTCAGGGTGAGCATGGCACAGTTGGCCCCGCAGCTGCTCGGGTGGGACCTGCAGACCTGCGGATCACCTGAGCAACACTTACTTGGATGCCCAGCTCTCTGGCCTTGGCTCCATCCAAGGCCGGGTGCACACCAAAACCGCCTGGCAAGCAGGAAGGCCCAGCTCATGAAGGGTGCCTGGGGAGGCCCTCGCCCCACAGACCAGACGACCTCGGTCAACGTCACCTGAGCATCTGAGGTTGGCTGCATGCCTGGCCAGGGTTCCCCCAACAACTGCCCCGGGTTTCGAGGTCTTCCCTGTGCCTGTCTCCTCTCTCTCACCTGGGCACTGTCCTGTCCCCTTTGTCCCTGGCCCCCACATTAGAGCCAGGGCAGGCCTGCAAAGGAAGGTAGATCAGGGGACCTGGCCCCGGGGGCCTAAACTCAGGCGTGGCCAGCCACGGAGGGGGCTCATGGGCCAGACATGGCACTGATCTGTGGGTTGGACAGCCACCTGGGGCTCAGGTGCTGCTGGGAAGTCGCTGGGAAGGGGGTTCTTGTACCACTTCTGGTACAGAACTGCTGGTCAGTTCTCAGGGTGCAGTCGTGGAGGCAGGTGTGTGTGAGGGGCGGGCCTGGCCTGTTCTCTGTACACTCCCAGCACAGCTCCGCAGCCACCGGAGTCTCACTCGGGCCAGGAGCCCAGGGCATCGACAGGGATGGGCTGGGGGTCATGCCCAGGTCTGCCTCGGCAAGGCCTGGAGCTGCGGCCCAGGGACCCCATGGCCCCCAGGGCAATATGGGAGGGGCTCGGTTTGGGGAGAAATCGGTAAGGGAGCAGAGGGTGCCTCCCCCCTGTGGGCCAGCCGCCCCGGCCACGCTGTGCACTGCTCCCCAAATGGCATTGCAAGGGTGTCCTGTCCTCTTCGCTTTGGCTGTGAGGGAGCTTGAATGGAATCCCCATGTCCCCCCACCAGCACGGCTGCTCACACAGCCTGCTGCCCACACGTGCAGGGCACATGCTCACACATGCGTATGTACGCACACACACATCCCCTGATGCAGTAGAGCCCGGGCTCATCTGCAGGTGGGGGTCGGGACAAGCCAGACTCCATCCCTTGGCCAAGGGGGTGCCTTTACCGACTCCTGACACCCAGGGGCGGGGAAGCGGGGGTGGTGCAGACGCCGTTTTTATACAACTGAGAAAACAGAACTCCAGGAAGGGGCTGTGCCCCCGTCCCCCACCTCAGACCACAGAGCAGTGAGGGCGCCGGGGCTGTGGAACTCATGGGGGCCAGGCCTTTTGTGACATGGCCACACCCAGGAGCCCCCGGGGATGGTGGCAGCTGTGACGACAGGTCTGCAGAGGGTGGGACACGGACATAGGGCCTTGGGGTCCTGGCACCTGCCAAGGGAAACGCTGCTGCTGAGCCGTGGCCTCCTCGCACACGGCCACCTGGCCCTGTCTTGTGGCCAGACATGACACTGACCATGAGCCACATGACCAGCCACGGCAGGCCTGGAGAGTCAAGAGCTGCTGCCAACAGAGGCGCTAGGGTGAGGCCAAGGCCGTGTGCACCTGCTCTCCAGCTCGATGGACAGGGCCCTCCAAGAAGGGGGCGGCGGGCGCAGTTTTCTGGATGCCTCCCACTTCCTGGGTGCCTCGTGTGAGCACACACTCCCTTCACCCACTCGCTGAAGCCACAAGGCCCCAGTGTCCACACTGCATCCTCTGGTGGGAGGCGGCACTGCCCATCTCACAGATGGGTCAACTGAGGCTTAGGCACTGAAAGAGCTGTCCAGTTGAGACAGACAGCTGGTCTGGTCCATTGGGGGCTGGCCACTTGGCACAGCGTGGTGAGGTCACAGAACTAGCACAGAGACCCCTGCATTCACCAACGACTCGGCCTCCTGGCCGTCTCCTGGGCACTTTGTCCTCATCCAGCTCCACCTGCTACCAGGCTGCAGGGCGGGTGAGCCAGAAGGAGGCCGGGGTCCCTGACTGGCTCCCCTCTAGGACAGCACTCCTTGCACCTGCCAAGGACTAGACAGAGCCCCCTGGAACTGGCGTGAGGCCCCTGCTCTGCCCAGTTGCCCCCTTTCATGCCACTGCTGACTACAGGGTCCCCGAGCCGCCCAGGCCCAGCGAAGATGGCAAAGACGCAGGTACCTGAGCCGTGAAGTGCCAGGGCTGAGGTTTCAAGTCCACATCAGGTCCCGTAGTTCTGGGGATGCTTCAGGCCATGGCCGCCTTCTGCAAAACACAGGGACAGAGGCGTTAGCCAGCAGCTGCAGCAGCTCAGCGAGGAGGCGGGGGCCCCTCCATCATCTCACAGCCTCCTGCAGAGGGCAGAGGGGCCTGCCCCCACCCGGGGCCCAGAGAAGGACTGGATCAGAGACCAGGAAAGTCCTGCCTGTCTGCCGTGCCCCTGCGGCTCCCAGCCCACATCTGGGCAACCTCCAGGGCTCCCAGAGGAAGGGCCGACCTGGCTCTGGCCTGGCCTGCTTATCATCACCAAGGGGCCAGGCGGCTCTGACTCCTCCTCCTCCAGGGTCAGAGACCACCCCAACTCTCGCAGAGGCTGCTGGTCCCCCCGAAAGCCACTGGCAGAGGTTTGCCCCTGCCTCCCACCTGGGTCTCAGATACCCAGTACATCTTGCCACAGCGTCTGCGACCCAGGCCTTGTGGGGTACACATAGACTCCAGGTCATTCCTTGCGTGAGGACCCAGCGGCTCTGGTCTGCCCTTCTCTGCCCACCTGCATGTGGTCCTGAGACCTGAGGGTCGGGGGCCAACCTTCAACGTGTCAGAGACAAGGGTAGCCCCAGGCTGCAGGGACCTGCTATTGGCCAGCCTCCACCACATTTTGTCTGCCCCTTGTGATCCCTGGCTCCCACGTGTGCACATGGAGGGCTGGGAGTGACCAGAAAAGCTAGAGGTGGCAGGCACGAGGCCAGCCCAGGCCTGGCCACTGCCCTCAGGTTCTCCAGCCTGGTGCCACCCAGACTTATAGGACAGAGACCAGGCCCTGGTGGAGGCTGACCTGGGACGGACCCAGGCCCCTGTCGTCACCAGCTGGCTCCCAGAGGACGTTGCTATGGGTAGCCACACAGCGCCTCACACAGACCCAACCCATACTAATTGTGTCTTTCACCAACCTGGCATATCAGGCTATTGGGGCTGGGTCTCCCCTGCTCCAGGCGGGTGTGCCTCTAGCAGGTGTGTGGGGCTCTGGCCACAGGGGCTAGGTGGTTCTGTGGGCTTTGCTCTGTCCTCAGCCAGAGGGGCACACCTGGCCAGGCTGGGGAGCTCACAGGACAGCGTCCAGGCAGCCCCGCCAGCCCAGCCCCTGGCTGCAGACTGCATTAATGGGCAGTAAAGATTGTACTGTACCCCTGCGTGCCAACCCATGTGCCCCCCAAGCTGCCCTTCTTGAAGCCAGCAGCCCAGGGTGTGGTCACTGGCGTGATGAGGTCTGCCCGAGCCATTTTGGTAGCTCATGGCCCATGGAGGCTGATGCGGCACAGGGCTAGCCCAGCAACCCTGGAAGACCACCCCTGCCCATGGGCTTCCCAAGATTCACCTGCAGGGTAGCCCTGGGGGGCACTGGGTTCCCAGCTCAGCTCACAAATTCCTGCACCTCTCTGGGCCTCCATTGCTCCATCTGTGAAATGGAGCCAGTGAGTCACACACGAGCTCACAAGTAACATATGCAAGGTCATAGGTAACATGCGTGTCAGCAGGGCTGTGGCAGCTGCATTTCCCACTTCCCCATGCTCGGCAGATGTACAAACCCGGTCCGCCTGGGCGGCTCCCACGCGGCCCAGGGTGCAGGGCCTGTAAACAGAGCTCAAGCTCCCAGGGATGAGGCTTTGAGTGGTTGATCAGCTGTCTCCCCTGTGCGTGGCAGAGCCATGTGGTCAGCAGGACCTGTCCCCTCTTGGAGTCGCAACCTCGAACCTTAACTAGAGGCATGGCTTATGCCAAGAGAATCTGACAGCAGAGGGAAGCTATTGCCTGGTACACATACACACAGCAGGGCCCCAGCATCCTGCAGAGAAGCCTCGGCGACCATGTACCCACCTGGAATGTGGCTGTTCGGCTCACAGCATCCACAGAGTGCCAGGACCTGGCCACCGGCTGGGGCACCACAGCTGTGTTAATACCTGAAACGGCAGGACGACAGGCTTGGTCAAAAGCAGCAGGGAGAGCAGCCCATGTCCTTCCCAGGGGTCACTAGCAGACATGAAACGTCCTAGAGGCACGCAACTGGGGGGCGGAGTGGCCTGAACGCATCCCTGTGGCCGCCAACAGTGCTGCTTTCAGCCCATCCTCTCTAGGGGGTTCCCGGGAAGGGGTGTGGACGGGTCCACTTCCCTTGGGTCAGATGTCAATTCTCTGAGCCAGACTTCTCCCCGCTGTCAGAGGGGTAGGAGCTAAACAAGATCGGGGCATGGAGAAAACAAAAAACCCACAGTCCTCGGCCATGTCCTGCCCACGGCAAGCCCTTCCTCCCCGAGGCCTCGTGCATGCAGCTCCCCACACGTGGCAATAACCCCGATATCCAGCAGCCACCAGGCCTCGACAGTGCAGCTGCTCAGCCCACTGTCTACCTCAGGGAGAAGACGAAGGCTTCGGTGGCTGAGCCAGGCTGGCCAGGAACCTCCCACCACCAGGAGCGCAGGAGACCCTGCTGTCTGGGTCCATAGCAAGTGGAGCAGGGGCCCCATGGCGTGCCTTGTCCACACCACCCCAGGCTTCAGACACAGCTAGGGGCAGAGGAAGACCCCGGTCCAGGGCAGTGGCCAGCCATCAGGTCTCCCCGACCTCGGGTCCTCAGGCTTAGAGACTGCCTATGCCATCTCCCACGAGGCTTCTTCACCCATACGTCACCCCACATCCCCAGATGTCCTGACCAAGCCTGGGCCAGGCTGCCCAGCCTCCTGTTTCTGAGTCACAGCCCAACCAGGTCCCTCCTGCCCAAGGCCCAACAGGAACTGCCTCCATGCCTGCCCTTTGGGTTACAGCAACTGCGCTCCCGGGGCCCACAGGGGGTGGGTCGGCCAGCTGGGGGGCAGGGGCAGAGCAAAGGAGCAGGTGGGCGGCCTGGAGCCCCCAGAAGCAGCGGTGGAGTGGTCCCAGCCTCCTGCACAGGCACTGCTGCCTGCCCTGCCGCCCCACTCCTCAATGCTTCACAGAAGGCTCAGTGTTCCGGGACAAGTGGCTGCGACTCAGTGTCCAGGGAAGGAGCCATGGCTCCAGGAGCAGCAGGAGGAGGTGACGCCCCCAGGATTTAGCTGAGTTGGGTGGCTTGGCTACTGCTGGGGCCACAGGGAGACAAGCCCCAGGTCAGCTCTGCACACCATGAACCCTACTTCCTCAGGAGTAGGCGGCTCCTTGGAAAGCCGGGACCCCTGTTCTGCTCTCTGGACTTGGGCTGGAGCCCCCAGCCTGAGTCTTCACTCGCTATGCTCGCTCACAGGGTGTCAGGGGGCGGCCTGGGTCCCAGCCTCTCTGACAACTACCTCCAGTCAAACTGCATGAGTCCTTCCCTAAAAATAGATTAAAAAATAAAGACACTAAAAACAAAACTCCACTTGGAGGACCCAACGTCCCTCGCCCTTCTTTTTCCCTTTCTTTCTGTATATGGCGCAGTGAGGAGCAATTTAACCCTCTGCTACAGATGGATAAACTGAGGCTCAGACCAAGGGAGGGGCTTAGTGAAGGACCCTGGGCCCCCAGCTCAGAGCCGGGACGCCGCGGCCGGCTAAGGCCAAGGCCAGCTGCAAGTGGGCAGGAGCCTGGACACAAGAACTACAAAGCCATGCGCCCTCCCCATGCCCCCACACACAGCCTGGCTCCCTACACAGACTGCAGGGGACGCCTGCACTTCAAGAGCAGGGCCTGGGAGAGCAGGCTGGCGGCATGGAAACCAGCCTGGGGGCCAAATGCAGCAGGAGCCCGCACCCCCCTCGCCGCCCCGTTTCCATGGGGACTAGGACGGAGGCGGAGTTCTGGAAGGGTTGCTGGAGCAGATGGGCTCTCTGCAGGGCTGGTGTGGGGTGGCGCCTGGCGGGGGGTCCCTGGGACGTGGCAGGCCCTGGCCCTGGGTTCTGCACAGAGCCTGGGGCTGCAGGGCCACCTCTGCCGGGACTCCTGGGCGTCTCTGATGGTCTGCTTGCTGCCCACCCAGCTGGGCCTGGTCCTCAGCCAGCGCTTCCTCTGCCTCTTCCTCCCGAGGGTCCCCAAGTTGGTTGTGGACACCTAGGCCATCTCTCGGGGACACGTGGTACGGGGAGCAGACCCGGGACACGGCCCTCGCCTGCCGACCAGGACACTGCCTCCCCTGGGGTCTGCCACTGCTCCCTGCATGTCGGGCCCTGGCTTGCGAACACGCCACACACGCGGCAGGGAGCTGCTCCTGCCACTGCCTTGACACGAGCCCGGCATCCGGGCCTCCCTCACAGCATCTCACGCGTGCACACAGTTCCAGCGTCACAGTTCCTACCGCCACAAGCAAGCAACCCCATCCCAGCGGTGTGTGGAGCCCCCGCGGCCCGACGGGCCCGCCAGCCACCCCGACGATTCCTGCTCTCCGGTGTGGAAGATGTGTTCTATATCAAAGGAGGGTCCTCCCGAGGGCTGGGTGTCTGGGACCCAGTCAGGGGACAAGCTCGGATCCCATACTGGCCGGCGGAAGCGGGGCAGGGAAGGGGACCCTTCGGCCTCTGTGAACGGTGGCACCAACCTTGTGGGGCAGGGACACTGCCCGTTCTGTGTATTCCAGATGCTGGCTACGGTGGCCCTGGGGCAGGCTGGCCTCGCTGCGGTGCTGGGGTGGACGTGTGGCACTTAGTCCAGGCTATGGCACGCCATAGGGCTCCACAGAGGGCTGTGACCCTGCAGCAACCGGCAAGGCCCGGCTGCCCCTAGGAGCCCAGCTGGGCCCAGCTCTGTGCCCCGGGCCCAGGGAGCGATTTCAGCCACAAGGGCCCCAGCTGGACCTGCTGCCCCAAGGTCTGGCAGCCTTGCCTCTCCCTCTGTAGCACCTAGCTGAGGCTGTGGCCACTAAGGGAGTGTCCACTGCAGGCACCCGGGGACATCCATCAGGCTTGTGGGTGATACAGCTCTCCCTTGGGCTGCAGCAGCCAAGATTGAGGCCGGAGACCCATGGGGTCCACCATGCCTGTGCGGGTGCTGGCGACCTGTGGCGTGCACACTGCAGCAACCAGGACGGGAGCTGGGCACAGTGCCCCCCGCTCTGGCAGCCTCCATGTGAGGCCCAGAAAGCAGCACCCTGAGGAGGCCCTGGCAGGGTGGGGCCACGGGATCCTGGGATCCCCCACCCAGGCTTAGGCCGGAAGCACAGGCACACCCACCCCAGGAATCCTGGGCGGGGCCCAAGGCCCTGGAAACTGGGCCAGAGGTTCCCTGGCAAACTGGGGCAGCCTCCCAGCACCCTCCCTGCAGCGGCTGACCCCTACCCAGCTTTGCCCCAAGCCCAGACGCATACAAAGACAGCGGGGTCGGTCTGGCAGGAGACCCCTGCTTGGGGATCCAACCAGCCAGACACCACTCCTGGCATCCTGTCCACTTTCAGTTCCAGCAGGGACCCGGGGTAGGGCTGACCTCCACCCTCTGGGAGGTGAGGCTGGGCTGGGCGGGAGGCTCCCCTCAGAGTCCAGCTGCAGGATGGCGGAGGGGTGGGCGGGCAGCGCAGGCCCTACCCTGCAGCTCTGTGGCCTGCCCAGGCCGAGGCTGAGCCCACGCCACAGGGAGCTGAGGCCTGCCAGTCTCCCCTGGTCCTGTTCCCCACAGGTGGGCTCAGCCTCTCTGCCTCACAAGAGCCCAGCCCACAGCTGTGCATACAGACCAGGCAGCAGACCCACAGGAAGGGCCCGGCCTGGTGGGTGCTTCTCCAAAGAGGTTCCCCACACACTGGCTGGTCCCCAGCAGGGGTTCCGGGCCGCTCCCGCCCGCCTTCCTGGATCCTGCTCTGGGCCTGCCTGCGCCGCCATTTCCTGTCCCGGGCCTGGAGGCTCACTCCTACTCCTCCCAGTTTGCAAATGGCCGGCACCCAGAACCTTCCATCTGCTTGAGGCAGCATTGGCGGCGGCGAGCCTGGCCAGGGCGCAGTGTACGCCTGCAGAGAGGCCTGTCCCTGCTCAGTCTGTCCACCTACTCCTGCCCCAGCCCAGGCCAGGGTTCAGGGTCCACCTGAAGCCATGATGAAGGCCAGCAGCAGTCCAAGGCAGACACCTCCCGGCCTTCCCAGTGGGACACCTGTGTGTGTGCCGTCCACACCCATGTGGCCAGGTACTAAGGACACTGCTCACGGCGATGCAGCAACAGAGCAGACGGCTGTGTGGCCCTGGGGGTCTGCCGTCGGACTCCCAGGGTCCCCGTCTACCCTGGTGGAGAGGAGGCATGGGTGAACCCCAGCCCTGCAGGCATGCTCCATTCATCCACTGCCTGGGGACAAACCGAGGCAGTCGGGGGAGACACCTCATCCTTGGCCAGCACAGCCAGGAGAGCGAGAGGCGCACCAGCAGCGCCCAGCCTCGGGCTGCAGCTCTCTTGCCGGGGCCACATGGCTCCTGCACGGTTCCCAACATGGCTCCAGGTACCTAGGCTCCGAAGCCAGTCACGGGTGCAGGGCTGGAGCTGGTGGGACCCCCGGCAGGCAGTCAGAGCCCCTCCCCTCAGCTCCTGGCCAGTGCAGGAACAGGCAGGTCTCTGTAGCTGAAAACAAAGCAAGCGACACCACAGAACAAACAGCTATGGCCCTGGACCCATTTCTGTGGCCGGAAACAGCCCTGCCAGCAAGCACACCAACAAATCCGGCACTGCTCTCTCGAGAGGTCCTATTGGTTGGTTGGTTTGTTTACGGCTACTCTTATACCTGCTGAATCTTTCATTTTTTTAATTAAATGGATCATCTGAATTTTCATAAAGGCCCCAAAATACCTCCACACAGGCCAAAGGGGACGAGGCCAGCCTCTTTCCCGAAGAGACCAGGGAGACGTCTCGTCACCGAGACCCGTGGCTTCAAAGCCAGAGCCGAACTCTGCAGCAACACGGGAAAACACAAAATCGATCGTTTGTTTGCAGGACCCCGACACAGGGCACGAGGAGACTTAAGAGACGAAGGCCAAAAATCAAATTA